TTTTATGATCCTGTAAAACAAGAATAAGTCTCAGAACAAACAGCTGCTCATGGAGCCACACTCCTACGTACACAATGATGGAAACATTGAGTGCACTACTACCGCCTTCTTCTCGCCATAACAACAGGACCAAGAGAGACAATGATGCTTCTTTCTTCACGCCAAAAAAACTACGATCTGATGATAATATTAGCAACGTGATAGCTGTGCTGCTGTCTGCATGTTGTGCCTAACAAAACCCTACAACTGGGAGTATATTCAACATTCTGCACAGCCCCTTATGTCTTTTTGCTTTTAAATGCATCTTTATGGTATGTGCCATGTAACATCTGTTCATTTGCTTTCTACTGTAGGTAACATCAGCCTGAATGCTGCACTCACCATTGTTCAGTGTGGTTGAACCAGGTTCACTGCTGGTACTAATAGTACCAGCAGTGAAATGTATTTCAGAGAGAGGAAGTGAATCATGAAGGTGATGATTGAGAAATCTGTACTTCCTCCCTCTTTGAAGTGCCTTTGAAGTGTGCAGCTGGGGTGAACTTCCCCAAACATCCTCCTCAAATCCCAGCGTTGAGTCAAACTGGATCTCAATGGGACTCAATCAAAATACCATAAATGTTAATGCACCAAGTAGTACCCTGCTGAAAAAATCAGCATGCTGGTCTATGCTGGTCTATGCTGGTCTATGCTGGTCAGTGCTGGTCTGATGCTGGTCAAGCTGGTCTGACCAGCATGGTCTAGCTGGTTAGGCTGGCCGACTAGCTGGTCAAGCTGGTGATGCTGTTGACCAGCTCATGCTGCTGGTATGCCAGCTTATGCAATTATACTGGTGATGCTGGTATGCTGGTGACCAAGCTGGTCCATGCTGGTCTATGCTGGTCCAGCTGCTCTGCAAAACCACGGCCATCATGATCATATTTCCCAGCATGCTCTATTGCCGTATGATTTTTTATTTATTGTTTGTTTCAATATCAGTTTTTTTTATGCTACACAAAGATAAATAACATACATTTTTCTAAACTAATCCAATCTGTTAGTTGGACTTATTGCACCCGTTACTGAAATGGTTGTTCGAGTTTAGATGGTTTAGATAATTTCATTCATTCATCTTTCTAACCCTGGTAGTCATTCTGAATGCAGATTGTGAGTGAATAAAAGTTCACATTTTTGGATATCCCCACTCTGGCTGGATTCCAATAGGAATTAAACATCACTTTGCAAAGCTAGCATAATAAGGTGACTTAATGCTGGTTTTGCTGGTGACCAGGATATGGAGGTACGCTGGTGACCAGTTTATGCTGGTCACCAGTGTCCAAAATACAGCGAAGGCAAAATTACTACCTGCTAAATAATGTGCTGTAATGTATACAATAACTATGTGTTTATACTATGTTCCTCCCATTCTATGGAATGCCCACTTCCCTCATATGTCATGTCTGCTAAAATGTTTTACCTGGTTCTTCAATGATAGATGGAACAGATAGGTTAACTTTGATTCTATACAAGTAAAGATCAACAAAGTCCAACTTATCACATGAAAAGTTCACGGGCTCCATGATGAAAAAAAGACTGTCAGCAGATGTGGTTTTCTTGCAAGAGTTACATAAAAAAAAACGAGAAATGTAACATTTAAAGAGGAGCTAGGTTGGAAAGGCCTATGCTGCCACCTACTGTAGTAACAGCAGAGGTGTAGGCATCCTGATAAATAAGAATACACAATTTTCCCTTATATCCCAGCACATGGACCAAGAAAGACGTTTTCTAATGTTGAATTGTAACTTACATGGTGAAAGTTACACATTGATTTCATTGTACAGTATATCCCACCAGGGATAAATCTGGTGTTTTAGATACAATTCAAGCTATATTAGATCAAATCCCGACAGGAACTATTATTTTAGCAGGTGACCTAAATCATACATTCGATAAGATTGGCAGACGTAGTAATAAAAAAGGCAGATTTACTGTAGGGAGCCTCCAAAGAGGCTGAAAAATGTCATCTCTACAAATAATTTACAGGACACCTGGAGATTACAATTCCCAACAACAAAACACTATTCTTTTTTTTCTGAAAGTCGACAAATAAGAATGACACATTTTTCTTTAAAATGCCCACATATGGTCCAATAGAAGAACGTTTTCCTAATGTTAATTACACATGGAAAAAGTTACACATTGATTTGGATGTACAGTGCATCTCGGACCGGAATAAATCTGTGATTTTACTTTACAAATGAACTGATAAGATCAAAATCCCGACCTGATAAAATTTATTTTAAGGTGACATAAATCATACATTCGCAAAGTATTGTTTCGAACTTATAAAAAAAAGAATTTCACTTAGGAAAAGCCCAAGAAAAATGTCTTACAAGTAAACACAGAAGATTACATTCCCAACAACAAATACACATCTTTACTTTTGAAAGAGAAAACTATTCAATAACATGTACTAATCAAATAAACGGTAGTACACTACAGCGCATTTGGAAAGTATTCAGACCCCTTGACTTTTTCCACATTTTGTTACGTTACAGCCTTATTCTAAAATTGATTAAATTGTTTTTTCCCCTCGTCAATCTACACACAATACCCAATAATGACAGTAAAAAAAAAAAAAAAGCACATATACTGTACATAAGTATTCAGACCCTTTACTCAGTACTTTGTTGAAGCACCTTTGGCAGCGATTACAGCCTCGGGTCTTCTTGGGTATGACGCTACAAGCTTGGCACACCTGTATTTGGGGAGTTTCTCTCATTCTTCTCTGCAGATCCTCTCAAGCTCTGTCAGGTTGGATGAGGAGTGTTGCTGCACAGCTATTTTCAGGTCTCTAAAGAAATGTTCGATCGGGTTAAAATCCGGGCTCTGGCTGGACCACTCAAAGACATTCAGAGACTTGTCCCAAAGCCACTCCTGCGTTGTCTTGGCTGTGTGCTTAGGGTCATTGTCCTGTTGGAAGGTGAACCTTCGCCCCACAGGGGGCCAGTATGAAAGAAAAAAAAACAAAACATGTATGTATTCACTACCTGTAAGTCGCTCTGGATAAGAGCGTCTGCTAAATGACTTAAATGTAAATGTAAAAATGAGCGCTCTGGAGCATGTTTTCATCAAGGATCTCTCTGTACTTTGCTCCGTTCATCTTTGCCTCGATCCTGACTAGTCTCCCAGTCCCTGCCGCTGAAGACCATCCCCACAGCATGATGCTGCCACCACCATGCTTCGCCGTAGGGATGGTGCCAGGTTTCCTCCAGAAGTGACGCTTGGCATTCAGGCCAAAGTGTTCAATCTTGGTTTCATCAGACTAGAGAATCTTGTGTCTCATGGTCTGAGAGTCTTTAGGTACCTTTTGGCAAACTCCAAGCGGGCTGTCATGTGCCTTTTACTGAGGAGTGGCTTCCGTCTGGCCACTCTACCATAAAGGCCTGATTGGTGGAGTGCTGCAGAGATGGTTGTCCTTCTGGAAGGTTCTCCCATCTCCACAAAGGAACTCTAGAGCTCTGTCAGAGTGACCATCGGGTTCTTGGTCACCTCCCTGACCAAGGCCCTTCTCCCCCGATTGCTCAGTTTGGCCGGGTGGCTAGCTCTAGGAAGAGTCTTGGTGGTTCCAAACTTCTTCCAGGTAAGAATGATGGAAGCCACTGTGTTCTTGGGGACCTTCAATGCTGCAGAAATGTTTTGGTACCCTTCACCAGATCTGTGCCTCGACACAATCCTTTCTTGGAGCTCTACGGACAATTCCTTTAACCTCATGGCTTGGTTCTTGCTCTGACATGCACTGTCAACTGTGGGAACTTATATAGACAGGTGTGTGCCTTTCCAAATCATGTCCAGTCAATTTAATTTACCACAGGTGGACTCCAATCAAGTTGTAGAAACATCTCAAGGATGATCAATGGAAACAGGATGCACCTGACCTCAATTTAGTGTCTCATAGCAAAGGGTCTGAATACTTATGTAAATAAGGTATTTCTGTTTTTATTTTTAATACATTTGCAAAAATTCTAAAAACCTGTTTTCACTTTGTCATTATGGGGTATTGTGTGTATATTCCTGAGGATTTCTATTTATTTTATTCAATTTTAGAATAAGGCTATAACATAACAAAATGTGGAAAATGTCAAGAGGTCTGAATACTTTCCGAATGCACTATATATATATAAATATATTTTAGCTAAACAGGTGGGGCTCAAAGCAGGTGGGGCTCTGGAAAGTTTTACATCTTCCTCAGTCTGAGGGTGATTTTAAACTTCCAGACTTGGAATTGTATCAACTCGCTACCCAAGGCTTTTACTTGCGACATATTGTTTCATGCATTAAAGAGGAACAATGGGTACATATTGAAGATGCGCATGCTCATCCCCAGAATCTTTTCACGTGTCTATTTTCAAAGGATAAAGCTAAGAACATTAACAACTTCATAGTTAAGAACACTATAACAATATGGAAGAAAATGAAACGTATTCTACAAGAACCAATATCACTCCCTAAAAACACAACCCTATGGAACAATCCTTGGATAGCTTTTCAGAATTCACCGATAAATTCGTCCACGTGAAAAATGTAAGGCATAGAAACCATCAAATACATTTATTTCCATGATAGAATTAAAAAGTAATACATTTATTTCCATGATAGAATTAAAAAGTAATACATTTATTTCCATGATAGAATTAAAAAGTAATACATTTATTTCCATGATAGAATTAAAAAGTGATACATTTATTTCCATGATAGAATTAAAAAGTAATACATTTATTTCCATGATAGAATTAAAAAGTAATACATTTATTTCCATGATAGAATTAAAAAGTAATACATTTATTTCCATGATAGAATTAAATAGTAATTTTGGACTGACCAATGTAGATAGTTTCAAATACAGGCAACTTAAAAGTTACATATCACAAAATTTCAATTTGAAATCTTTTGGACATCAGAGCAACCTTATTTGAGTCAGAAAAGGATATTCATATGATAGAGACAGTGAATGCTGCTGAGGGGAAGACAGCTCATAATAAATGGCTGGAATGGAGCAAATTGAATGGCATCAAACACATGGAAACTATATGTTTGATGTATTTGATACCATTCCACCTATGACGCTCCAGCCATTACGAGCCCGTCCTCCCCAATTAAGGTGCCACCAACCTACTGTGGATAGAGAAGATATACAAAACCTTGCAGAGAGCATATCCAACTGACAATCTTTTAGAAAAAAATTAAGATGGAGGGAATGTTGAAGCATAACTAACACAATTACAGTTAACAAAAATGTACGCTTAATCCAGTATAAACTAATGTATAGAATTCATTATACAAGTCATGTCTTCAGTGTAAAACTAATAATAACTCAATAATCCATACTTTCTGGGAATGCTATAAAGTCCGGAAGTTGTGGGTGGTGCTAGGATGTTGGCTGTGAGAAGTATTACAATGTAAACTTACTTTTAATTCATCTGTCTGCATATTTCAAGACATGGCTTATGGGGGTGTACTGACATACCCAATGGGATGGACGATTCTCTTCTCATCACTCTCATCAATTGAAAAAATGTATACTAAAAACGTGGAAATCAATCAATCCGCCATCATTAACCCAATGGAAAAATCAAATGATTTATTATTGAAATATTGAAATAGCATGGGTGACGAGAAAAATAAATGGATACAATTTAAAGGCCAAGTGGCAAACAAAAATGCAGGCACTAGGGATGGGGGTGTGAGCATGTGAGTCTGGGAAGATGAGATTAAGTCATTGTTTGTGTGTGTCTGTAAGTTGTTGTTTGTATGTGTACGTTTGTATATCGAGTAAAATACATTTAAAAATAAAATTATAAATAATAGCCTGTAAAATAAAGAGTTACCAAAAATCTTTGGGCATGAAAACTATTGTACAGTATAGGCAATGAGGATTGCATATTCAGAATAAGCACCTGTGTTTGTATGAAAAATGTATGCACTTATTAACTGTAAGTCGCTCTGGATAAGAGCGTCTGCTAAATGACGTAAATGTAAATGTAAATGTTTTTACTGTACGCTTCTACACTGACTATCTGGAGCCAAAGCCTCTCTGAGGGTGAGATACTTTTTGTGTTCCATTCACTGTACTTGCATGCTCCAGAGCAGGTAAATGGAGCACGGAACTGGGCGCATTGAGCATGGGAAAGCATGGAGCACAGGAGAACGCTGAATGGAACATAGCCATATTCTCAATCTGGAGCTCTGAGTGCAGAAGGTGGTGACATCACAATCACACACTGACCCACTGACCTTGTGCTGACCCTACATCCAAAACATGGAGCCTGTTAGAGAGTACTCAACAGTCATTGGCTGCTCTGATTTTCACAACACATAAGTCAAGGAGGATGAAAAACGAGTCAATATCTGGCTCCTTGAATTATGGAAAACAGTAATAGTCTGGTTTGGTTTCCCTCCTAAACATTTGTCTACCAGTTCTAGGCTCATTGAGTTGAATGAGAGAAACATAAATTAAGCTTGTACTTTCACCTCTCGGTAAAGGTGTAATCTGCAATAAATAAAGTTACTACTGTTCAATGGTCAAATAAACTACAGATTGTGGCTTCAAGTCCTTCAGGAGAGAAGATTGAGGAGCAAGACACTGACTTGGAAACACTTCAATCAGCTGTGTCCGAGGCTGCCATAGGGCCATAAGCAATAGATCAGCATGCCGATATGACAGAATGGTATAGTCTTGTTCTCCTTGAACCTTTACAGCTAGCTAGCTGACGTCAGCTTGTTTGATGCTCTTTTGTCGCTAGGCTATAGGGAGCAACCCTCAGTTATAAATTACACCCCTCCCCGCTTACACAAGAGTATGCACGAGTCACTGGCATTATTTCAAAAGGGGAATGACATGTGCTATTTTAACCACCTGTTGATACATGAAAAAAGAAAAGTGCTTGGACACGCCCTCACCTCGCCTCTAAATCAATACAAGGCCCTGACAAAATATTTTCTTTCATTTTACATTTTTTTCAGGCTGAGATGGGTGTGTTTAAAAGAGAGGGCCAACAGAACACTCAATGCTTAATCACCCTAAAGTAGGCTTAATTAATGATGCATTGTAATTTTCCCCCATTGCTCATGCACGCCTCTGCTCTCACTTCCGGGAAACACACTACGAAGACAAGTTTCTAACATTCTCATATCTATTATTAGAATTTATGAATTACAAACACTTACCGGAGGACCTGGGTCTCCTTTGGGGCCGGGAAAAGCCTCATCATAGTCTCTGTAGAAGTAATCTGGTTCCTCGTATCCATAGTCGTAGCCTTCCATGCCCACATCGTAGGCCCCTTCCTGGCCATGTTCCTCTGAGGTGTCCACCTGGTTCTCCCGGTACAGGGTGGTGCTGTTGGGTCTGAGCTGGTTGTCCAGGAGGTGGTTAGTGGGCTGGGGCTGAGAGTCTCTAGGCCTGAAGCTGGAGCTGTTCCTCAGGCCCTCCTTCAAGCGGCTCTGCCTGACAGGGGAGATCAGGCCTGGGGTGGCTGTGGTGACCCGTTGGGACCTCCTGGGGCTCCTCTCCTCCTCCTCCTCCTCCCCCTCCTCCTCCTCCTCCTCCTCCTCCTCCTTCTCCGTGTCATTCTCAGACTGGGGAGACTGCCTGGTGGAGCCCCCTGTTGGGCTGGATCTGGAGCTGGAGTTGATACTCATGTGTGTGATATCCATGGCCTCCAGCCCACTGAGAGTGCCTGAGGATGGGCCAATGGGGCCTGCTGTGGGGGTATGGATAGAGGTGAGGTGCTCCAGCAGGAAGCTCTGGGTCTGGGTCCTGACCCCCAGTTGAGACCGCTCTGAGGGGCTTAAATACGGTGTTCCGGACCCCTCCAGGGAGGGGCTGGGGGCTGATCCGGCCAGGGTGGTGGACTGCTGGGAGTCTACAGCCAGGGAGAGGGGCACCACCACTGTCTGGGACTCTGGAGAAGGAGGAACAGGGGAGAAAGCCAAGGAGCCGGAAACCTCCATATCCGAGCTGGGGGGTGGCGGTGGCGATCGGAAAGTGTCGGCCAGCCAGCACTGTTTTTTAAGGTAGTGGCAGTAACGCGCAGAAGCCTGGGCTGAGGGGTAGATGTCCAGCTGGCATATGAAGCCTTGGAACTGGGCTGCTTTAGACTTAATCCTTCCTAGGGTGAGCAGGCCTCTAGATCCAGACCCTAGCCCCTGTGACCGGGTCAGCGTCTGTTCTCGCTGCTGCACCGCCCCGCAGTCCGCATGGAACGACACTGAGCGCGGCCGCACGCCCACAGCGAAAGAGTGCTGGCGCCCGTCGTGCACGTCGTAGGTGAAATAGACAGAGGCCTTTTCGCCGGTGTACACCACCACCTTCCTGGGCAGCAGCTGGATGCCAAACTGCAGCTTGTCCCTGCCATCACGCACGCTGAAAAGGAAAGCATTGTTCGCTCGCCAGGAGCTCAGGCTAACCACGACAGAAAACTCCTCACCGAGCTCCGGCGGGAACAGACCCCCTGTGGCGGCTTCAATGTGGGAGTCCGGGCTGAGTAGGACCCCGGCTCCTGGGGTAGAGGAGGAAGGAGAGGGAAGGGAAGAGGAGCTGGTCCCAGGGGAGAGGGTCTCTCTGCTGCCGGTGAGGCCCAGCCAATGGAGGATATCGACACCTGTGGAGCAGAGAGGGGAGAGAGGTCAGTCAGACAGTCAGACAGACACTTGCAACATTTTAAAACCTTACAAACAGTGATAGGAAGAGGACATTAGCATCATCACTCTACACTCTTAGAAAAAAGGGTTCCAAAAGGGTTCTTTGGCTGTCCCCATAGGAGAACCCTTTTTAGTTCCTGGTAGAACCCTTTTTGGTTCCAGGTAAAACTATTTTGGATTCCACGTAGAACCATCTGTGGAAAGACTTTTACATGGAACCCAAAAGGGTCTACCTGGAACCAAAGGGTTATACCGGGAACCAAAAAGGGTTCTTCCAAGGGTTCTCCTATGGGTCAGGCAGAGCCGAAGAACCCTTTTTGAACCTTTTTTTCTAAGTGTTGGAGGAGGACAAGGTAGGAAAGGAGATGGAAGAAGAAGAAGAAGAAGAAGAAGAAGAAGAAGAAGAAGAAGAAGAAGAAGAAGAAGAAGAAGAAGAAGAAGAAGAAGAAGAAGAAGAAGAAGAAGAAGAAGAAGAAGAAGAAGAAACAAAGAAAGAAAGAAAGGAACGCAAGTAGAAGAAGCACAGGAAGTGAATGAAGTGAATAAATAGGTGGAAGGTCTGATCAAGGCTTGGCTGCCATGACATCACAGATTACCCATAATCCTCCTCAGACAGCCAGGCAGCCAAGCCAGTGAGCGAGGCAGCTGGGTGCCAGATGAGTCCAGACAGGGGACTACACAGGGATAGATGGTACAGTACAGTACTATCACACAGCAGTGTGTGTGTGTGTGTTTCAAACAGCCTGTTTGAATCAATCTGCCAACAGAGATTCATGATCCTCTCTTTCTTAACAAGCTGAGTCATGAATTTTCCTCTCTCCCAGGTGATTCCTCAAACTACATGTCTGACCTGCTGACATTGAAGTTCAGCAGGAGAACAGCGTTTAGAAATTAGTTTAAAAGTAGTGGAAAGAGTTTCTCAGCATGGTAGTTAGCTAGGCTTGAATCAGGGAATAACGGGGCTAGAGAGAAACATTACACTCTTAGAAAAAAGGGTTACAAAAGGGTTCTTCAGCTGTCCCTATAGGAGAACCCTTTTTGGTTCCAGGTAGAACTCTTTGTGGAAAGGGTTCTACATGGAACCCAAACGGGTTCTACCTGGAACCAAAAAGGGTTCTCCTTCGGGACAGCTGAAGAACCCTTTTGTAACCCTTTTTTCTAAGAGCGTAATGTTTTCCTCTAGCCCCATTATTCCCTGAGAGTGTACAAATGTCAACAGCATGGCACAATATTTTCGGAAAAGCACAACATGACAAATGAGAACAAAGACTTATAAAATATGTTATGAACCTTCAAATCAAAAGGAATCAAGACTCAACGGTTTTACCGACTGTGTGTGTGTATGTGTGTGTGTGTGTGTGTGTGTGTGTGTGTGGAGAGAGGGAGAAATTGGCAGACTAAGGCAGTAACTCAGTGGAATCCAGGAAACAGGAAAATGTCAGTGGGGAGATCCTGGGAGGAGGAGGAGGAGAAGGAGGAGGAGGAACAGGTAGAGGAGGAGGAGGAGGGAGAGGAGGAGGAGGAGGGGGAGGAAGACACACACGCACACTCGCACACACACAAACACACACACTCAACCAGTGTTTTGCACTTAAAACAAGGCTTCTATAGTGTGTTGTTGTCACAGCAGGTTCAACGTGGTCGTAAAAACTGAAGTAAAAGGCAAAACACACAAACACATCACCGCAGTTTTAAAAAGAAAACAGTCAAGAACGCAGACTGGTAAAAAGCTGTAACACAGCTATTTTAGAACGAGTCGCACATGTATGACCTCGAGACCTTTCACCTTGGTCACGGGTCAAATCGAACAGACAATAACTTATTTAGAAAAGCGTGGTATAAATGTTGACAGCATAAATGTGGGGAGGAATGGGTAACAGATGGTGACTGACGTTTACCTTTGGAGCTTTTGTAGCTTTAACATGTTCACATGGACACACTTAACAAAAAGCATTATGGATTCATTGATCATAACATAATCAAATGTTATTAGCAGTGTCTAAAATGGGGATCCAAACAGTAACATTGGTGACCATTAACTTTATGCCTAAACTGTAAATAACATAACATATCATGTATTTTGAAAAATACTGTTTACATTTCTTTACACTGCAATGGGCTCATGTCCAAGGATTTACAAAGTGGAAGATCCCCTCCACCCCCTGAACTCTCTGATAGATAGCTGAGTATGGTGCAGGGAGCTGGTGGTTGTGTGGTTGTGTGGTGAGTGTGTTTAGTGAGTATGCCGCCGGCGTGCTGCTGGTGTCAGGATGTCTGTGGTTTTACTAGTATTTAACCCATCAGCCAAAAGGTTGCTTTGTCCGTCCATCCATAGAGGCCTTGAAAAATGCTTGTCTGAGTTCATGTGCTTATGGGATCCTCTCGTTCCTGTCTGCAGCCTGGGGGACTAGCTGTTCTGCATCCCAAATGGCACCCTATTCCCTATTTAGTACACTGCTTTTGACCAGGGCCTGTAGTGCACTACATAGGGAAAAGGGTACCATTTGGGATGCAGCTTAAGTATCTGCAATAGATCTCTCCTCTCCTCTACTGTCCTCTTCTCTCCCTTCTTTTCCCCTCCCCTCCCCTCCTCTCCTATCCTCTCCCCTCCTCTCCCCTCCTCTCCTCTCCTCTCCTCGGTCCTGCTCCTCTCCTCTCCCTCTCCTCTCCTCTCCTCTCCTCTCCTCTCCTCTCTCTCCTCTCCTCTCCTCTCCGCGTCCTCTCCTCTCCTCTCCTCTCCTCTCCTCTCCTCTCCTCTCCTCTCCTCTCCTCTCCTCTCGCTAGCTGCACAGCACAGAGAATCGATGTCCTTGACATTCTTCGCCTGGGGTAACGTTAGCCAGGATTCCAAGCTGTCTCATTATGAGAAGACAAGCTGCCCTAGCCAAGCCCTCAGTCAGTCACTGAGCATTCTGCTCTTTTCTGCATTCCTCCTCCTCTTCTTCTTATGATGGATTGATCCTGCTGTGTAGTGGTGGTGTAGTGTTGGTGGGGTCTACAATGATACACAGACAGAATAATAACATACTAGCGTGGTGGTAAAGGACTTGGAGCGACTGTGACTTCCTGGGGTTAGCCTGAGTTGAGCCTGCCTCAGGAGGAGTAGAGATGGGGGTAGACCTGCCTCAGGAGGAGTAGAGATGGGGGTAGGCCTACCTATGGAGGAGTAGAGATGGGGGTAGACCTGCCTTAGGAGGAGTAGAGATGGGGGTAGGCCTACCTTAGGAGGAGTAGAGATGGGGGTAGGCCTACCTATGGAGGAGTAGAGATGGGGGTAGACCTGCCTTAGGAGGAGTAGAGATGGGGGTAGGCCTACCTTAGGAGGAGTAGAGATGGGGGTAGACCTGCCTTAGGAGGAGTAGAGATGGGGGTAGACCTGCCTTAGGAGGAGTAGAGATGGGGGTAGGTCTGCCTATGGAGGAGTGGAGATGGGGGTAAGACCTGCCTATGAAGGGGAGAACCTGCTTAGGAGGGTAAGAGATGGGGGTAGGTCTGCCTATGGAGGAGTGGAGATGGGGGTAGACCTGCCTTAGGAGGAGTAGAGATGGGGGTAGATCTGCCTTAGGAGGAGTAGAGATGGGGGTAGATCTGCCTTAGGAGGAGTAGAGATGGGGGTAGACCTGCCTTAGGAGGAGGAGTGGAGCCAATTCATGTTGGAAGCATATGGAGTATGTCTGGCATGTCCTCTGTAATATCCCTGTCTTCTGCAATGTACATGTTGAGTGGCCAGCCCCCATCAGTACACTGTTTTCTTCAAGTTGAGTGTCAGCCAGGGGTGAAAGTAAGGTGGTACGGTCTGGTACGGCGTCCCGGCAAAATAAATAGTGGGGGTACGCCGTACCGGTAAAACGTGAGCCTATCATAATTAATACAACATGCCCAAACAACTATAGGCTATTACACCATTATTTAACATTAATGCATGTCAGCCGCATGAAAAATTAATGAAATGGCTAGAAACCGGGTGGTATATGCTCCAAATTGTGTTGTGGTTTGAGGAGAACACTTACATTTTGTCAAGGTGGAGATGAGTGGCCGAAACGCTTGCGGAGATGAGTGGCCGAGACCGAGGCACGCGTGGACAACAGTGGATTCATCAATTCAGGCTACCAGTGTAGGCCTAATGACAATCACAGAATGTAATTACAATACACGTTTAGGTGTTTTGTAACTGATGTCTCTTTCCATTCATCAAATTGCGGGTGCACTGTTGGGGTTTGGATGCTGGAATGATTTTGTGAGTGGATGAAAGTGTGCGAGTAGCCTAGAGGAGCGCCTTTGATAAGTGACTGTTTGACAATCAGATGAAAACATCATGACTGGTTGTGTTTCTGCCACATTAAAAGTCATAGGCGGTGTGTCCATGAGGCTAGGGAAAGCTAAGCTTTCCCTAAAGTAAACTGAATTACATTGCCAAAATTATATAGCCTAATTAGCTTACTCCTGTCTATATAGAAATAAATACAATCATTCAAAATAGGCTACTACACCAGAAAGCATGGTTTGGCCACAGAGGAACATTAGCTAAAAAAAAATAGCTGTGTTTTAAATCGCATAGCCTACAGTCGGAAGGGCCTGCAATTTGGGCAGCGTGTGCTGCAAATACCAATGAGATGATTGTTGAGTTGTGACTGTCAGTGAAAAGTAGAGACACCCAGTCAGGCATATCACAATATTTAAAAATACAATCGAGGAAAAGCTATTTGGAAAGCAAATGGCTATTGCTGTAAAGAGATGACAATGAAAAGACTCCAATCTGTCTTTTAGTTATCAAAAATTCTTAACTTAATTGAGCGAACAGTAGCCTATCTTATTGGCACCAGCGGAGAACATCGGCCAATCCCCGGTGAGTGTGCATCACTGTCTTTATCATTGGGTCAGTGCCACTTCTGTTTGTTTTTGGACAATAAACTTCCTCCTCCAGGTTAGATGGACGTCATATTGTATGTGTCTCCCCT